ATCAATGGAACAGAATTGAGAATCCAGAAATTAACCCATTCACATACAGCCAACTGATTTTCAACAAAGTGCCAAAGTATATTGCATGGGGAGAAGATAGTCTCTTCAACAGATGGTGCTTGCAGAACTGGAAAGCGATATGAAAAAGATTTAAACAAGACATGCCTTACACAAAAATCAACTCAGCATGGATTAAAGACCTATATGTGAATCCCAGAATTATAAAGGCCATCAATGAAAAAATGTGAGGGCTCTAATACAGGGCACACACTGACTACTAAACATTTTGAAAATTACATAAACAAAAGTAAATAAAATAGATGTTTGGAGCATACTAAAAATTAAAATTTATGTGCATCAAAAGACTTTAACAAAAGATTAAAAAGGGAGCCCACAAAATGGGAAAAAATCTTTTGCAATGACACATTGTCTAAACTACATAGGAAACTACACCTCTACAAGAAAAAGACTAATAACCCAATTAAAAAATGGGCACAGGACATGAACAGACACTTCACCAAGGAGGAGATCTGGACAGTCAACAAACATATGAAGAAACATTCACGATCACTAGCCATTAGAGAGATGCAAATCAAAACAACAATGAGATAGCACCTCACACCAGCAATAACAGCAAAGATTAAAAAAAAAAAAAAATAGAGGACAATAAATGCTGGCGATGATGCGGAGAGACTGGGACTCTCCTACACTGCTGGTGGGATTGCAAAATGGTCCAACCACTCTGGAAAGCAATATGGCGATTCCTCAGAAGATTGGAAATAGAAATACCTTATGATCCAGCGATTCTTCTACTTGGTATTTACCCACAAGAAATACAAGCCATAACACGAGAAGATATATGCACACCAATGTTCATAGCAGCACTATTTACAATAGCAAAAAGATGGAGACAGCCTGAGTGGCCATCAATGAAGAATGGATAAGCAAACTTTAGTACGTACACACAACGGAATATAATGCTACCTTAAAGAATAACAAGGAAGGTGCAAGCCACTGCATAACATGGTTGAACCTTGAGGACATTATGTTGAGTGAAAGTAGTAAGTCACAAAAGGAGAAATACTGCATAAGATCATTATTGCAAAAGATTAAGAAAAAGAACCCACACTTAACGAGGAAACAAACAAACAAACAAAAAGTATTTGCTGGTTACTGGGATGTTGAGGGGAGGGATAGGAAGATGGAACACAGTGTAGGGAATAGACACAGGATAGCTTGGGTGCTGGGGGAGGGCAATACACAAGGAAGGGGAGGGGAATGTAAGAACAAGGCTGATGGGAGAACAGTTAGGCAGGTTTGTATGGACTAATAGGGACAGAGGTAAATAATGATGTATGCACAACCTTGAAACAACAGGGCTCTGGGATACAGACATTAAGGCATGGTTTGAATGGGTAAAAGAGGGAAAATAATGTTAAGATGCTTGGCTGTCTTTTGAATCTTGGTTTCCCTTGCCTATCATTGTAAAATAGACACTTGGGGAGAGAAAGGAATAGCCAGAAACATCACCATAGAAAGCTTGTAAGTCTGTCTTCTGCCTATAACTGATTGGAATACCTAAAATGGGGCTAGAACTTGTCCAGTGAAGGAGGCTTCCTGTGGAGCCTTTGCATTGCACAAAACCATAGGTGGAATCCTGAAACCCATCCAGAATCTTGAGATGGGAAATTTCCACTGGAAAGGACAAGGAGACCAGCCTGGAGCAGCTAGAAGAGCAGAAGGTATTTCCTGAAAGAAAGACCGGCAGGAAAAATCAAAACCAATAATGGCAGTCTGATTGACTACTACAAGAACAAGAAAGTTGTTCACCAGGGAGCCATTAAGGCAAGTGGTTGGGTCCCCACAGGGCAAATCTCCTTTCAAGATTAAGACTCAAGGGGAATAAATAAGCAGATATGTTGTCTGGCTGGTGACTACGTTGGTCACCGATAAGGGGAAGAGGGGAGAAAATAGCTCTGAAGTTGTGAGCTAAGTCCGACCATGTTCAATAGATTTCTGTGAACCCAGATTGAGACCTGGTTGGCCAGCAGTATGGCAAGATCTGGGGACTCCTGAGCCCAGAGACAGTGACATAGTCACAGAGGACTAGAGCGGAGAGTGAAGCATCCAGCTGACATAAAGTGAGGGGAGATGCACAAGAACACCCATACTTGCAGATGGTCCCCACTTGACTTGGCTTAAATGGGTGAATGATCAGAACCTGACTAGAAGAAGAAGAGGGGGAAAAAAAGAGTTAATCTGGTACAATTTGATGATCTTGACCTATACTTATGGATGTCGCTGCTCAAAAGAGGGAACAAATCTTTACAGCAAGGATCATTCCCAACCCCTTGGTCTACAGGGTTGACAGAGTTCGGCAACTTAGATATTGGCTACCCAAAAGACAACAAATGACTGGCTTACAAGCTTTCAAGAGGGAACCTAGTTCCAGAGGGTGCAGGGGAAGGTAGCATCTCCTCTGAGTGGTTTCCAATCTGCCTGGACAGGGCTGATGAAAGGAGATGGGGATAAGACTCTTGTAGTACAATAGTGAATAATTGCTATCAGGACTGACTA